GACGGGGCCCCCTTCCCCACCGCTGAAGGCTCCTCTCCGGTCCCCAGGAAGGAATCCGTATGGGCGGGGGGAGTTTGGTTGGGGTCTTTTGGAAGGGGAGGAGGGGATGTTTCCGAGTTCCCCTCGACTGCCTCCCCTGCTGCGAGGGCTGCATTCTCACGCTCCCTTGCTAGGAAGGAATCGGCCTTGGTGGAGGTCGGCTTCGCTTGGCGCCTCTTGGAAAATGCAGAAAGGTTGGCACTGCGACGTTTCAACGGCCGCTTTGGTGCTGGGACATCAGAACCGGTTCCTGAAACGCATTAGCACACAAACGGTCACCGGCTGCCCATGCCTCTCCCCGCCTTTCGACATCACCGTCCCTCTGCTGGCGCACCTGCGAAGATGGCGCTGGTTTCGGTCCCCTGGGCTCCGTCCGGAGTGCTGAGGGTGAAGAGCTCGTAGAGGTCGTTGGATTTGAAGAAGCGCCTCTGCTTGGGGTCCTTCAGGATTCTGTTCGTCAGGAACTGTTTGAATATTTGCCTGGGAAAATAAAGCATGTTGTGTGATGAGGGAAGTTCTCTGTCCCAAACACCTCAGGTTTCTCCTGCTGTATCTAGGTCTCTTCTCTCCCTCTCTCACACGCAGACACACACGGACAATTCCACTATGCACAAACATATGACAGATCTCAAGACTTGGAAAATGTTTTAAGGAATCAATGGAACAGAATAAATAATTTCAATAAAAGGGAAGACCTCTTGCTGTGTTTAAATTCAGAATTGTGCTCGATTTCCAGCCACTGGCTTTTGTCCACTGCCACCATAACTCAAAGAGGCTCAGGGATTGCCATCCAACGATCCGTCCCAAAGCCTTCAAGCCCCCCTCCCAAGGCAAGACGGGGCCTGGGCAGCACAGCCAAAGGGAGGAAAGCCGCTGGCTCCAGATTCTCACCTGACACCTGGCGGAAGAAGGGAGGCAAAGGAATCCGGCTGCAACATCCCACTGACCTGTGGTAAATCTTCTCCTCAATGGTCCCTGCGGTGAGGAGCCGGTACACGGTCACGTCCCTGGTCTGGCCGATCCTCCACGCGCGCTCCCGAGCCTGGGACACAAAGGCTTTGCTTTTCAGGCGATACCGGAGGGCCAGGCGGGTGGTTGCTGGGGCTAAACGCGGGGAGCTCCGGAGGCCCTCAAACCGTTGGGAAGCTTTCCTTCCCGCCAAACCCCTCCGGGTGGCCTCCGTTCCCCAGGGGGCAGAGCAGACGAAGAGCAACCTTCCTCCTGCTCTCTGCAAGGCGTCCGTCCCCCCCCTCGAGCCTGCCCTAGTGAAAGGGGGAGACCGTTTGCCCGGAGGAGGACAGGCCTCCCTTCAACCTCGGCTTCTTCTCCAGCCGCCTACCTGAGTGTCTGTGCTGGGATTCCAGTCAGGGTCGTAGATGATCACCCGGTCTGCGCCCGTCAGGTTAATCCCAAGCCCACCAACGCGAGTAGTGAGGAGGAAGACAAAGATGGACGCATCCTGTGAGGATTTGCAAGACAAAGCAGCCTTAGGAAGACAGTGGGAGGGATCCTTTCAAGGGACGGCAGGCGCCTCTTTGTAAGCGGAGGGAGGGGGGCACCAAGGCTCCCCTGCCGTGTAGCTTCATCGTCTGTTATTCCAATGGTGGAAACTGCTTAGAGGGGGCTGGGAAACCCCGTGAGGTGGGATCCAGGTCTCAGGGCCGTTACTCGGGAGCCGTGATGGCGAACCGATGGCACACGGAGCCCTTTTGGATGGCACGCAAGCAGCTGCCCAGCTCAGGCCCACTGCGCATGCCCGCGCCTCCGCGGTCCTTCCGGCTGCCACGGCTGGCTGGAGGCTGCCAGGAGGAGGAGCTGCTGCTGCCTCTGCAAAAGCGGTTGTGCTGGCAAAGGTCGGACCAAAACCGGGGGGGGGGGAGCATGCGCAGGGGCCGCACATGGCATTATGGATGCTGGCACGCGGGAGAGTTGGCATTCGTGCGTGCGCATCCTTCCAGCACGCAGCAAGAGAAAGGTTAGCCCTGACTGCTCTGGAGGATGACCAAGAAGAGGAAGCCCAGAGCATCCCCTGAAATAGGCCTCCGTATTTGGGGTGGGGTGGGGGGTGTTGAGTGAAGATGGAACTGGCAAATCTGAGAGCTCTGGGCGTCTCCTTGGTTCGGCTCTGCTGCTGCTGCTCACCCTGATCCCAGAGATGCACAGCGGCTGCTGGGGGCCTCTGAGGCCTCAGCACGGCTTCCTCACCTCATTGAACCTCCCAATCAGAGGCTGCCTCGAGGCCACTGTGGTGGTGCCGTCCATTTTGAGGTAGGAGTAGTTCCTCTGCTTTAAAAACTCTTCAAGGATGTGCAGCATCTGCAGCATTGGAGGGGGGGAGGGGAGGGGGGGGAGACAAGCCCACGGGGGTCTCTGATCAGGACCTCTAGCAGCACAGAGGATAGGAAGGAAGGCCGGCTGGACGGCCTTTAGCAAAAGGCAGCCGAGGGCCGGCACCGAAGCCAAATACCTCCTGGCATAAAGGATGCCTCCCCCCCCAAGGCCCCTGGGGGCCCATTCCCCCTTCACTCCGTGGCAAGGGGGCTTCCAACTCCCGGGGCCACCTCGTCTCTGAGGCTGACCTGCCTGGACTGGGTGAAGAGCAGCACCCGGTGGCTCTGCTTGTGCCAGATTTTCAGCAGGGACTCCACGACTATCAGCTTCCCAGAACGCCTCCAGAAGCCGAACTGGTCTTCTTCCTTGAGGTCCTCCTCGGGGGTCCCCTTCAGAACCTTCGGTCCGCCGGAGAAGATGTCAGGGTGGTTGCACATTTTTCTTAGGGCTATCAGCCCTGGGAAGATCTGCACGGGAAACACAGGCAAGCAGGGTCCCCCTCTGAAGCCCCCGGCAGACAATCCGCACATCGTTCTTCCCAAAAACAAGGTCTCATCGGAGCCCCGAGAGGCAGGCGGGGGCTACCTGGGCAGCTCCACATCAGTATCCAAACTTTGCCCACAGAAGGGCAGGTCCTCCGAGTTAAGACCTGGGAGACAAAG